GATATCGTATGGCTTGACTCTGGTTGAGGGTCTCTAATCTGACCGCTTTCTAGGTGTCTGAGTGCATCCGGGTGTAGAATCTGAACGCAGCCATGCGCATGATGCGCTTTGCGGAACGCAGCCAGTATATATCATGGTGGAAGGACTTCCACCATGGTATATACTCAAAGTCGACAATCGATGTATTGTAGAACGGGCCTTAACATAAACAAGTGATACATAAAAATGGCGGTTCCTTCAGTTTCGCTAAATACACGAAATAAAAAGCATTTTTTAGGTGTACCGGCACCATTGGGATATGTTGCCGGTGTTGGTAGAGGGTAAGTTTTAACCTGATTTATAATATTTATAAATATTTGTCTTCAAGTATCAACTACAATAAGTTATTAATCTTACGCATTTCTAACCTCTCTTTCTATTCACTAGAGCAACAGGATTTACGACACGGTCTGATATTGGTCCCGCTCGAGATGCCAATGATGTTTCGTAAGTTAAAAATTACATTTTACATACAACTGAAACAAATATAGGATTCACAAATTGTAAATAATTTCTGAACACAGAGACGATAGACATGCTCCACCCACAAAACGTACAAAAAAGAAGGAAGAAGAGGAAGAGGATGAAGAGGATTTGAATGATTCAAATTATGATGAATTTTCAGGATATGGAGGTTCTCTTTTTAGTAAGGTAAATAAAGTTATCTCCGTTTAGTAATAATACAGACATTAATATTCTGATCTGTCGCTAGGATCCTTATGATAAAGATGATGAAGAAGCAGATGCAATTTATGAAGCTATTGACAAACGAATGGATGAAAAACGTAAGGAATACAGAGAGAAACGTCTCAGAGAAGAATTGGAACGCTATCGTCAAGAACGTCCCAAGATTCAACAGCAATTTTCCGATCTGAAAAGAGAGTTGGTTAATGTAACTGAAGACGAATGGAAAAATGTTCCCGAGGTGGGAGATGCTAGAAATCGTAAACAGCGTAATCCAAGAGCAGAAAAATTCACTCCGTTACCAGATTCTGTACTGGCGAGAAATTTAGGAGGTGAGACATCCACCAGCATTGATCCAGCTAGCGGTTTGGCATCTATAATGCCAGGTGTGGCAACACCCGGTATGCTAACTCCCACAGGGGATCTTGATCTCAGAAAGATTGGGCAGGCCAGAAACACATTGATGAATGTCAAGTTGAATCAAGTTTCTGATTCTGTGGAAGGCCAAACTGTAGTTGATCCAAAAGGATATCTTACAGATTTGCAGAGCATGATACCTACTTATGGTGGTGACATAAAGTAAGTAAATGATTATTATACATATTTAACTTATTTATATATTTATTTTATATAGTATATAATAATTATATTATGAATTTATAAAATTTTTCTGTTTCAATAGTGACATAAAGAAAGCCCGATTATTGTTAAAATCCGTCAGGGAGACTAATCCTAATCATCCTCCTGCGTGGATCGCATCTGCACGTCTAGAGGAAGTGACTGGAAAGGTTCAAGCGGCAAGAAACTTGATAATGAAAGGATGCGAGGTAAATCCTATGTCTGAGGATCTATGGTTGGAAGCTGCGAGATTGCAGCCACCGGATACGGCAAAAGCAGTAATAGCGCAATCTGTGCGCCATATTCCGACATCCGTTAGAATTTGGATAAAAGCCGCGGACTTGGAGACAGAAGTAAAGGCGAAACGAAGAGTGTATCGAAAGGCATTGGAACATATCCCAAATTCAGTGCGATTATGGAAAGCGGCCGTTGAGTTGGAAGAGCCCGAAGACGCACGTATATTGCTCAGTCGTGCGGTTGAGTGCTGTCCGACCAGCGTAGACTTGTGGCTTGCTCTTGCTAGACTGGAGACTTATGATAATGCAAGAAAAGTCTTAAACAAAGCTAGAGAGAATATTCCAACTGACAGACAAATCTGGACTACTGCTGCAAAACTGGAGGAAGCGAATGGCAATAAACACATGGTGGAAAAGATTATCGAGCGTGCTATATCCTCGTTGAGCGCAAACGGAGTAGAGATCAATAGAGAACATTGGTTTAAGGAAGCTATGGAAGCTGAAAAAGCAGGGGCAGTACACTGTTGTCAAGTTATCGTTAAAGCCATTATTGGTTTTGGAGTAGAAGAAGAAGACAGAAAACATACTTGGATGGAAGATGCTGAAACTGTAAGGCTTTTTGTAGTTTTCTAATACAAATTATATATACACTTCGCGCCAAATTTCTTTTGACCGAGTTATTCAATACAAAAGCAAAAATGGTCATTTTTACTTCAATGTTGAGTAACTCGGTGAAAAAAATCGCACAATGCTGATCGAGGACGCAAATTAAAGGTAAAGATTCACGCTTTCAAATGCTGTAAGTCACATTTGTATGCGATTTTTATTTCACTCCATGGAACTTCGCAAATTTAGTAAAAAAGTTTTAGATTTGATGCAACTCCATTTGCATTTGTGCAGCTTTGTAAAGAATCAATAAGTCATTTAATGAATTATTTTGAAAGTAGAGACTAAGCTGTGAAATGCTTTTTTGATCATTCTGTTACGATTTTTGACGAAATTACACTCCCTTGAAATTTGCCTATTTTTAGCGATCAGAATAGGTAATTTTTTAATTTTGGCGCGGAGTGTATATATATATATATATGTACGTATTATTATATTCGCATTATATTGGGCGAAAAAATTAATGTTTATGTTAAAAAATTTGTTTACAGTGCGCCCAACAAGGAGCTTTGGAATGCGCCAGAGCTGTCTACGCATATGCGTTAACGACATTTCCTAGTAAGAAATCAATTTGGCTACGTGCCGCTTATTTTGAAAAAACATATGGCACGCGGGAATCTTTGGAAGCTTTACTACAAAGAGCAGTTGCTCATTGTCCCAAGAGTGAAGTGCTTTGGCTGATGGGTGCAAAATCAAAGTGGCTGGCTGTGAGTATTAATTGTATTCACACGATTTTAAATTTTATTTAAAATATTTCTTCCCTTTTTATCTGCAATTTCATCTTTATGTAGGGTGACGTACCAGCAGCTAGAGGTATTTTATCTCTTGCATTTCAAGCTAATCCAAATTCCGAAGAAATTTGGCTGGCAGCAGTGAAACTCGAATCTGAAAACTCAGAATATGAGAGAGCGCGACGTTTATTGGCCAAAGCCAGAGCATCCGCTCCGACGCCTAGAGTGATGATGAAAAGCGCCAAGTTGGAATGGGCTCTTAATAATCTTGATGCAGCGTTGCATTTATTAAAAGAAGCTCTCGAAGCCTTTGATGACTTCCCCAAATTGTGGCTAATGAAAGGTCAAATTGAAGAACAACAGGGATACTTAGACAAAGCGATAAATACGTATAATCAAGCGGTGAGTGAGTTTTTTCTAATATAATAATATTCATAATGCGAATACAAAAAAATATCTTCTATGTTTACAGATAAAAAAATGTCCAAATTCGATACCTTTGTGGCGTTTGTTGGCACGATTGGAGCATAAGAAAAACCAAGTGACCAAAGCGCGTTCAGTTTTGGAGAAAGCGAGACTTAAAAATCCTAAAAATGCAGAATTATGGCTGGAAGCTATACGGAATGAATTGAAAAATGGTGGCGCACGTGATATGGCAAATACACTAATGGCTAAGGCACTACAAGAATGTCCCACATCCGGATTACTCTGGGCAGAGGCAATTTTTATGGAACCTCGACCTCAACGGAAAACTAAAAGTATCGATGCCACTAAAAAATGCGAACATGATCCACATGTTCTTCTGGCAGTATCCAAGTAAATTTTTTTTAAGTTTACTTACAAGAGTAACACCAGACATGACCTCCGATTTGGCTCAATTTTATACATATAATATGTAGTTGATCCCTCCCACTAATTCGTACTAAAAGGTTGCGACGTACTTCTCAAGCATTCGTGAGAAAACGTGTTCAAAGATTTTCATGTTGGTAATGTATCCATCGGTAAGAGTGAGTCTGTAACAAGCAGCGTGGCATAGTGAGTAAGGCGCCTGACTGTAATGTTGCATGTTACTGGTTCGAATCTTATTTTAACTAATTTTTTTCATCTATATTGCATTGTATTATTGTGTATGTGTATTTTTTTATATTTAACTTAAAAATTAATATTTTTATTATAAAATTTATTATATTTAAAATTATACAATTTATTTATTTATTATGCTTTAAATGTTATTAAACTTTATATCATTTTAAGTTATACAATTGTGTTATACAATTTACATTATTAAATTGAAATTTTTTTTGCTATGTAATAAACAAATTTCAAATTATTTTTCATCTTTTGCTTTTTATTCTTTAAACGAGTTTTGACTACACAGAAATCCCTTCTTGTAAGGGTATCTTTTGTATAATTATACACGCTGATTTAATAATGTAAATTGTATGACACAATAACTTAAAATGATATAAGGTTTAATAACTTTTAAAGCATATTAAATAAATAAGTTATATAATTTTAAATATAATAAATTTTATAATAAAAAATTAATTTTCAGGTTAAATATAAAAAATACACATACACAATAATACAATGCAATATAGAAAAATTATGAAAAATATAAAAAAAATTAGTTAAAATAAGATTCAAACCAGCAACATGCAACATTACAGTCGGGCGCTTTACTCGTTATGCCACGCTGCTTGTTGCAGACTCACTTTTATCAATGAGGACATTACCAACATGAAAATCTTTAAACGCGTTTTTCTTACGAATGCTTGAGAGGTGCGCCGTATCCTTTTAGCACGAATTAGTGGGAGGGGTGAACTCTTATATAAAATTTAGCCAAATCTGAGGGGGCCATGTCTGATGTTACCCTTGTTAGAATATAAAAATATAAAGTTATACAGAATATAAAAAGTTGAATATTTATAACTAGATACATACATTATATACATGTATTTTTTTATATTCTGAATACTTCAACTCTCTTACTTTCTCTCTTCCTTTTTTTCTCTTCTATTTCTTCTTCGTATTCTCCTTTCTCTCCTTTTTCTTTTTGAAGAAACACAAATATTGTATGGACTTTTCTGTTACAGACTATTTTGGTGCGAACACAAGATTTCAAAGTGTAGAGATTGGTTCAATAGGACGGTGAAAATTGATCCAGATTTAGGAGACGCCTGGGCCTATTTTTACAAATTTGAATTACTGAATGGTACGGAAGAGCAGCAAGAAGATGTAAAAAAGAGATGTATCGCTGCAGAACCCCATCATGGTGAAAATTGGTGCAAAATTTCCAAAAATATAGCAAATTGGTGTCTAAGTACAGATCAGATCTTAGTATTAGTTGCAAAAGAATTACCAATTCCTATATAAAATAAAAATTATTGTGACAAGTTAGAACGCAACTATCATAAACTTAGCTATATGTAAGTTTGTAAATAAATCTGAAAAAAAAATTTCAATTGATTTTATGTTTTTGTTCTGTATATAAAAATATACAGAATTCCGCAACGCGGAACGTTATGTCGAAACATTTATAGCCAATAGGCAAAATTAGATATTTCGAAAAAAAAATTATATTTATACAAAAATCGATAGAATATATAGTATTATAGAATTTTGTGATTCAATCGTAATTTTAATTTTTAATAATTTAACAATTCTAAATATTTTATATGGTTCAAAATGTGTAGAAAAACTACTTTATAAAAAAATGAAAAGTTGATATTTTTTATTATTTTTTGCATCCTTCAATTTAATATATTTTATTTTTTATCAATGTAGTTTGTTTCATGATATATAATTATTTTAATTGATCCAAATAAAAGTAGAAAGATGCTCTATAAAGTATGTTTAATCCAAGAATAGATACGTGACTAATGTTAGTATAATAGATGCGTCCTGATCATTATAACCGAAATATATTTCCACATGTACCTATATATATATATATATATATTGCGTTCCTCTTGGCGCTTACAGCGCTTATAAGCATCATTTGTCTTTGTTTAATATTTGATAAACAACAAGGATGAATGATTTTGTGAGCGCTGTAACCAGCTGTAAGCGCCAAACGGAACGCAGCCTGCTAAAGATCCGGGTTCAAATCCACCCAGAATAATATAACTCTGAAATTATTTTAATCAATTCGGAAGCGATCGCCGCCTCTCGGAAGGCAACGGCAAACCACCGGAGAGTATCTTTGCCAAGAAAACCTCTTCTTAAAAAATGGCCGCCGTTCGGAACCGGTGTTAAATTGTAGGTCCCGTACCTATATCTGCGTAAAAGTGTAAATCGCACATCGTAGAAATACGAGAAAAGGTCACTATGCTCTGACAAGAGTAGTAGGACTGGATGGATGGATATATATGTTATAACTAAGATACATATATGTATTATAATTATTATAAATAATAATAAGAAAATTCCAATATTTTTTTCTTAATTAAAAAACAAATATCAGGACACTTAAGAGAATCCTAAACCCTAGATCAAACTCCAAAAATCCACTGTTTTACCGACAATTTGTGAGTATGTATGCGTGCGATATTGGTGTGTAGTGTGTATACACACACTATAGTGATGTGTAGTCATGTTTATTACCACATCAATATATCTCACGCATACATATACACGAATTTGTAGGATACAAATGTATTTTTATTTAGGCTTCTAAATTTGATTTTAACGACTCACCTATATTCATTTCTTTATTGTACATCTGGCTCTGCCTTCATT